AGTTCCTTTAATGCCAATTTGATGCTCAAGTCTCTGTAAAAGAATATCATGGTCAATGGTGTCAAATGCAGCACTAAGATCTAATAATACAAGTACAGAGACAAGTCCATTGTCAGAAGCAATCAGAAGGTCATTATTAACTTTAACCAGAGCTGTCTCTGTGCTATGATGAACTCTAAATCCTGACTGAAAATCCTCAAATAAACTATTGTTATGTAGAAAGTCACACAACTCTTTGGCGACTACTTTCTCCAGAATCTTAGAGAGGAACGGGAGGTTAGAAATCGGTCTATAGTTGGCTAAAACCCCTGGGTCAAGAGTAGACTTTTAAGAAGGGGTTTAATTACAGCTACTTTAAAGGACTGTGGTACATATCCTGATAATAAAGAAAGATTAATCATATCCAGTAAAGAAGTGCCAATTAAGGGAACAACTTCTTTAAGCAGCCTAGTTGGGATCGGGTCTAACAGACAGGTTGATGGCTTCGATGAAGAAATGATTGAAGTTAACTGATGAAGATCGATAGCAGAAAAACAGTCTAAATATACATCTAAGTTTACATTGACAGAAGTCCCTGAACTTGGAGAGCCACTGATAACTGTTGATGGCAGTTGGTGATTAATTTTTCTCTAATAATAATAATTTTATTATAGAAGAAGCTCATGAAGTCATTGCTACTTAAGTTTATGGGGATATGTGGCTCGATAGAGCTGTGACTCTCTGTCAGCCTGGCTACAGTGCTGAAGAGGAACCTAGGGTTGTTCTTATTTTCTTCTATTAGTGCTGAGTAATAGGCTCGTCTGGCATTACGGAGGGCCTTTCTATAAATCTTAAGATCATCTTGCCAATTTGAGCGATATTCTGATAATTTGGAAGAGCGCCATTTCCTTTCAGATTTCCTAGCTATTTGCTTTAACTGGCGGGTTTGGTGGTTATACCAAGGTGCTAGTCTCCTATGTTTTAATAATTTCCTTTTATAGGAGCGATAGAGTCTAATGTTGATCGTAGTGAGCCTGTAGCACTATCGACAAGATTATCAATTTCAGAGGGACTAAAGTTGTTATAGGACTCTGTTAAATTCAGACATGGCATTGAATTAAACACTGAAGGAATCTCCTCCTTAAATTTAGCTACAGCACTGTCAGATAGACATCTGCTGTAGGAAGTTTTGCCTAATGGCTTATAATCTAATAGTATGAATTCAAAAGTTATTAAATAATGGTCAGATAGGAAAGGATTATGTGGGAAGACTATTAAATGTTCAATATCAATGCCATATGATAGAACAAGGTCAAGAGTGTGATTAAAACAATGAGTTGGTTTATTTACACTCTGACAGAAGCCAATTGAGTCTATTAATGATATAAATGCATTACTAAGGCTGTCATTGTCAACATCCACATGAATATTAAAATCACCTACAATAATTACTTTATCTGATTTAAGGACTAAGCTTGATAGAAACTCTGAAAATTCAGATATAAAGTCAGAGTACGGTCCAGGAGCGCGGTACACTATAACAAATAGAACTGGCTGCAGTGTTTTCCAGTTTGGGTGAGAAAGACTAAGAACAAGGCTTTCAAATGAATTATAACTTAGTTTAGGTTTAGGGTCCATTAAAACGCTCGAATCATATATAGCTGCTACTCCACCTCCTCGGCCTGTGCCTCGAGGAATGTGAGTATTAATATGACTGGGGGTGGATTCATTTAGGCTAACATACTCCTCGTGGGACAACCAGGTCTCAGTAAGACAAAGTAAATCAATATCATAATCTGATATTAATTCATTCACTAGAACAGCTTTAGAGGACAGAGACCTGATATTTAACAGCCCACATTTCATTCTCTTATTTTGTGCTACTGAGGAGTTGGTTTTAATTTTTATTAGATTTTTATGTTGAACTCCTCTTGTTTTTATTTCTTTAAATAATTTAGGTGGTCGGGGGACAGACACAGTCTCTATGGGGTTTTGGGTGGGTGACTGTTCTAAAGAAAGAGCAGAGAAGTGTGTAAGACAGCAGCTCTGCTTCCTGGTCCTAACTCTGGACTGTCAGGTTTTAGAAATAAACTTCGCCATATTTCTAGATAAGAGAGCCGCTCCATCCAAAGTGGGATGGATGCCGTCTCTCCTAATCAGACCAGGTTTTCCCCAAAAGGCTTCCAGTTATCAATGAAGCCCACATCGTTTGCTGGACACCACCTCGACAGCCAGCGGTGGAATGACGACATGCGGCTATACATGTCATCACTGGTCACATTGGGCAGGGGTCCAGAGAAAACTACGGTGTCCGACATTGTCTTAGCATAGTTACACACCGACTCCACATTAATCTTAGTGACCTCCGATTGGCGTAAACGGGTGTCGTTACCGCCGACGTGGATAACAATCTTACTGTATTTACGTTTATCTTTAGCCAGCAGTTTTAAATTTGATTCAATGTCGCCCGCTCTGGCCCCAGGGATACATTTAACCATGGCCGCTGGCTTCACTAACTTCACGTTTCTGACTATGGAGCTGCCAATAATCAGAGTTGGTTCCTCAGCGGGTGTATCGCTGAGAGGGGAAAATGTATTAGAAACGTGAAGCGGTTGGTGGTGACCTGTGGGCTTCGCCGTTCTAGCCTTCCTTCGCTCAGTCACCCAGCCTCCCTGTCTTCCCGGCTGCTCGGGAACTACCGGGGATCTACAGAGCTAACAGAAGCTACCTTCGGTCGGACCGCACCGGCTACTGGGGGCTGACTAACTATAGCGGCTAAAGATATCTCAGTGGTGCGGTGCCGTTCCTCTAACTCACTAAGCCTCGCCTCCAGCGCAGTAAATAAACTACATTTAATACAGGTACCATTATCTTTAAAGGAGGCAGAGGAATAACTGAACATCTGACACACTGAGCAGGACAGAGGAGAGGGAGAGGGAGAAGCCATAGCTAACTCTAATGCTAATGAAACTAGAGTGTATGAAAAACTTTGAAAGTAGTGAAAAGTCCCAAAAGAGGGAGAAACTCCAAGTGTTTAAGTAGAACTAGTCTACGTTTAAATGTTAAGCGGGTAAATAACCGCTGTAACGAGTAAAACTAATTTATATTTAGCGTTCACTGACAGAGCTACAGCACCAAACAGTGTACACAGAGCAGGAAGTAAACCGGAAGTGAGTCAGTACGCTTACCGTAGCACGTCCAATCCAATTCAGGTGCATTAAAAGGCAATATCGGCTCGATCACATTTTTCCTGCCATAAATGTTAAGTGTAACAGCTTGTACATGCCTCTGTAACCAGTCAAGATATTTTAATCAGTTTTGCCAATCCTCGCAGGATCATTCAATCTCACTCTTTTCTAAATGGCACAGCAAATGACTCCAGAGGTTTTTAATTCAGTCGCTATGTGTAATCCATCTCTGAGGAGAAGTCTACAGTACCTCTGTCTCTGTGAAGCTGCCTTACAATGGTTAATATCTGGCTTTAACGTTGACATTTTAAAGGAATTTACTTCAGTTGTTTAATTCAATAGCCTCACCCTCCCATTCCACAAGTGAGAGAAATTACAGTGGCTACAAAACTCATGAAAAAGGCTAAAGGACTTATCTAGAGCCAGTGTTTGATTTGTCCATTCTGGGCTACTGTACATGGCAGACTCTGTGGAAGAGGACCAGCTCCCTCTGTAGATAAAAACGGCTCATTCCAAGGTAACATAAACATTTTCAGGTGACTATACATTAATGAAAAATAAAGATCCTCCTAAATGTTACACACTTGAAGACACTTGATTGTAGGCCTAGCAATAAGTCACAGAGACAACAGAGAAAATAATGTTCTCTATCTATTCTCTTTCAAGGAGATTCATTAACAACATGTCAGGGTCCCCGGCTGGCTCAATGTTCTTGTCGTCTCCACGGTCTGATGCTTTACAGGATAGATTGACATTTCTGGGATCAGGTCTGTCCCAAAACAATACTCATACGTTTTTTTCTGCTATAACGGTTTTTGTGGAGATCCCCCTTTTAAAGCTACTGGAAGTGATGGGGAACAAGAAACTAATTACCCTTTCAGTGGACATATGGGTAGGTGATTATTGCATTAAAACACACTTTAATGTGAACCTTTCCTTTAATAGAGCATAACATTTCATAAAACAACATATAACCTGTCAGTAATTCACTATCTGCACTGAACATTTGATGGCTTAACTTGTGTGTGTTACAATTCATAGACTGCTCTATTCCTTCCTTGCCTTCCCAGAACCACGCAGGGCATTGAGGTCACAGCACGGCTCTCCTGCTGCTGAACTTTCATTGCACAGCTCACTGGTGCAACAGATTGACACTCTGAGAGTGGAAGGGCTCCCGCAAAGCTGGAACATGCTGCAGTCTAAAGAAAAAGCTCCCACTGAAAAATACCATCACTTGACCATGACTTCCTGGAACAAATCTGGAAAGATTCCATTCGCTAAAGTTGCTGGATTTGTTTGTCATGTGTTTACAATCTACAATTTTGTCATGCAAACATAACATCTACTGTATGTCTGTTCGTCCTGGGAGAGGGGTCCCTACTATGTTGCTCTTTCTGAGGTTTCTTCTGTTTTTTTGAATGGGTATGGATGATTTCTTCCTGTACAGACTCTAAAACCCCTTAAGGGAAAATGTATGAACTTGACTTGATAAAAAAAAATATTATTCCTTTCTGGTTTGTGTATGTCTTTAAACTCCGGAAACAGGCTGGTTTGCATGTAAAGCAGTAAAATGAGATGCAAAAATAATTCAAGTACACTAAAGTACCATATATATAACAACCCTTATATATTGATATTGTCTCACTTTCCCAGAGACTTGATTAAAAAAACAACTCAGAAATTCCATGAGCAATGGAAACCGAAAGATTAAGACAATAAAAACTCACATAAATAACATACAGCAAACAAACAAAGGGTGGACACATTATCTCAACAACATATATTGATCCAGAAAGACATACAGAAAACAAACGTGAGTAAATGTGAACTTACCTGCTACTTTTTCGGGGCAGAGGTAGATCCTTCTGGGAAGGAAGAGAAAGAAAAAGAGGGTGAGAGCCTGATTAGATTAGTTTTTATCGTGCAATCTATAGGACTGTAGACAATATCATAATGTATACCTTCTACGTATAAGTGTGGTATTGAAATATGTATTGGTAATTCCTGTAATCTCTTATTATAAACACTGTAAACAGAACAATTCAGTTAAAGACGGAAACAGATGATGAACATGCAATGTAAATTTAATTTAGTTAATTTAAAACTTAATTACTTAACTTTTTGTCTTATTTAATTCTGAATGTGTTTTTATTTTTATCTCCTCACATATTTCACAGATGTTGTTTTTACATATAAAGCAATTTGTTTCTTAGCATATAGACAGGTTGTGTATAAATCTTATTAATTCAAGGTCAAACACGTCTGTTTTTATGCAGCATAAATGGATTTACTGAGCTATCACAGAAGAGACGTACATTATTTTTCAAATGTTTGATGCAAGAATAACCAAACATTTGAGATGAAACACAGAAATCATAAAGCCACAGAAACCATTTTTGCTGTAAAATCATTTGCCACTTTGATGGAACCCCACAAACAATCATGCATCTTACAGTTAAACCATAGTGTCATCATTATAGTGCTAGCATCAAAAAATCAAATGTTAGAACAACTTCTCAACACTGAAGCCTTCCAAAGACAGTTAATTCCTGATGAATACTGTGGTTTAGAAAATGTAACACGCGTTTCAAGTGATGTCAAATATTCTGATAATAAAACGGTTCAGACTGTCATAGAGGAGGAGATTAATCAACAGTCAGTTTTGTGATTTCTCTGTTAATGTCTATGTCAGGTGGCTGTTTTTAGTTTTTATTAATCATGCTTAATTTTTCCCGCTGCAGCTCCACCCATGCTCCGCGTATTTGCTGGGAGGAGGCGGAGCCAGGACAGCCAAGACGGTGACGACCAGAGCCGACCACACTGAGCTTCACAACAGCTCTTCAGAAACCTGTGGGTGACGTCACAAAGAGTGCCTCCATTTTTAATCACAGTCTATGGTGTAGCAGTTTGAAAACTGATCCCTTCTAAGTATCCCTTCAGAGCTACAGGAACAACCAGGTTGAGTGGAGCCAAAGTCAATTTAAAAAATGTTGCTGCTATATTTATGACACTGGGACACAACAGCAAGGACCCTGATGTGATTAGGATCTATTGGGATGAATCTGTGTGGTGCTTGTTGCCCATCTATTCCCAATTTGATCGGCTTAGGTAAGATCACGTTACCCTCAATTTCTATTGTCAGCCTGTGCCGCGCTGCTCATCGAGCCATTTTCTGCAGCCCAGTGGCTCCGCTAAAAAGATATTATCATTCGTTTCTTTTCACTCAGGGAAGGCTTAATAACACAGAGCCACGTCAAAGAAATGAAAGGAATCCGAACGACAAACCCCGCCAGGGTCAGGAGTTGAAAACAAACACAAACGTGAGAGGAAAATAAGAGGAAAAATAAGAAACTGTAATTAGTTTTCCAGAGGATTTCATCCTGTTAGGAAAGGACAAGAATTTCTCTCTTTCTCCCTCTCTCTCTCTCTCTCTCTCTCTCTCCTCCACACACACACACACACACACACACACACACACACACACACACAGTCTATCTCTTTGTCTTTGTATAAGTAAACAAGCATTACAAAACCCAAACAAAGTCGAGCTGATGAAACATGACTTGACAGCTGGAGCTCTCATCTCCAAACAATCTCAAAACAAGCTTACTACCCAAACTCACTTTCCAGCACTGCGAGACTCTAATACTTGTACTTAATAAAAGAACTATGGGGAGCCAATGAGCAGCAGAAACCTGCTAGGCTGCAAAGACGTATTGTAATAAGTCAGAACCTTTATTTCAGCAAGTCGAAGAAATCATGATTATCTCTACTGGGGACTGAATAAGTGCAGCAGCTCAGCAGTAATCATATGAATATTAAAATTTGGCAAATGCTACTTGCACCAACTGGTATACATTGAATGAATAGTTATACATTATGGGAAATACATTTATTAATTAATTAATTAGAAACAGCTAGCCTGTCTCCTAATGTTCAATAATCTGCCTGAAAGCACGTCTGAAGCTCACAAATGAACACGTTATATCTCATTTGAGTAATCAATACACAAACAGAAAAGTAAAAAAACACATTTTGTGGTGGTTCTGTGCTGTTACTCTTTCTTGATAAACAGTTTTTCTGTGCAGCTTCTCCTCTGATTGTGTGGGAAGCTCACTGTGGCAGCGAAGAAATAGAATACATTATTATTTTTGTGGACAGATCAAACAAACATATATAAATGGTAAATGGACTGTACTTATATAGCGCCTTTCTAGTCTTCCGACCACTCAAAACGCTTTACACTACATGCTACATTCACCCATTCATACACATTCATACAGTGATGGCCAAAACCATCACAACTTCAGATTTAGCAAATAAGTGTCTTTCCCAAAATGTCCAACTATTAAAATACACATGGCGGCCTGGCAGCAGTTGTGAGTTCAGAGATTACTTTTCTTCAATGGGAGTGACATCACCCATCATAGTGAGCTCTTTCTGGGACAGCTAATGAGTTACATCATCAGGAGGAAGTGAGCTTGGCCAGGGTGACTTAGAGAGAGCCCCACAGGAGTCTTATATATGTGTGTGTGTGTGTGTGTGTGTGTGTGTGTGTGTGTGTGTGTGTGTGTGTGTGTCTGTGTAGTATGGGGTGATAGGGGTGGCTAATGGATAAAAACCCCAACACCTGCTCCCACTCACTGTCTCAGTCCAATGGACAGCTACTGTACGTGTTGTTGCCATGTTACTGGTCACTCAAGCATTTCGTAGATTATTCTCCTCAGTTCAAGCGACCATGACAAATTCTCAGTAATATCCATTTGGCTCGTAACACAGACCTTGAAATATATGTTACAAGACTTGTAAATGTAAACTGTAAGGTATAGGCAAAGAAAACCTATATGAAGCACATTACATAACATCAAGGATATTTTCAGACACTCAACTCAACTGTATGTGGTTGACTTATACCTCAGAGTACTGATACAATCCTAATATAAACTGCATAATGACATTAACATTTCATCTAAATCACATTTATGTTTTATCTAATTATGTATATTTATACTCTTCCATTTTATCTGAATAAGCAGTTGCCACTGCTGGCTGTTTTAGGAAGTCCTCAGGGCTGATCCTGACAGGTAAGTGAAGTTGTTGTATCAATAATGCTGAAAAGCTCATGGTGGTATACAACAGAAATAATAGCAATCACAGGCCTGCCCTGGAGGATCATTAAATGTGATTGTTCACCATTAAAAACCATTCTCTGTCTTCACAATTACACATATGAATGCCATGACGCAAAAAAAACACACAAACACACAATGATAACAACACACTGCATCAATTTCTGCCTGTGGGAAAATAGTTGGATACAGTTGAAAGGTGTGATTATGCCCCAACCAGCTACTTACCCCCAACACACACACACACACACACATACACACACACATTCACTGTGTTGCTGCTAAATGCTAATCGCTCTCCAAATTAAACAAGAAAATCAAGAGTAAGAAAATATTCTGATGTGACATGTGACAGCTGCATTTTTTTTTTTTTATCTTAAAGTGGCATTAAATATGTGGTTTTGCAGATCAAAGATGTTTGCACATACAAACACCTTCTTGTCACAGTTAATCCATTATGCACATTCTCCATGCTACAAGTAACTGCAAACTATTCACATACTCCTCAGCCACTACAGTTTGTTGTGAAAACGGCATTCAAGACAGATTAAAATATTAGACAACTCTCTGTCTGACAAGTAAAGAAACGGTGTCACACAATCTTTCCTTTTTCTTGCGGGTTTATATTTACCCAAGGACAAACCGAAGGCCAACTGGAAACCAAAGAAAAGAAAAATGTTAATATGCTGCTGCTCTGGGCAGAGTCATGAGGCTTCTGTTCTGTTTCTGCTGCCAAACGTGACAGCAGATTGCAAGGCAAATGTCATGCAGTGTATTCTTCATTTTAATAGCTCTACTTAAAAGCTTTGAATTCACTGGTCATTACACTGAGGTCGAAAATAATGTAATGGCTCATTAACTCACACTTTTGACCTATATTTCTTTCTTCTTTCACTGGATCTACTTTTTAACAAGTGCTATTTTTTCCTTACCTTGTCCATTTTCGTCTGTTTTGGGGATTAAGTTGGGCTCAAGCTTTTGTGCTTTATAGGCGTCTGGCGTGATAATTCAAGCCCAGTTAAAGAAGCCCAAGTATCCGAAGCTATTCCCAAATATATTCTGGCCCAGATCTGTTGCTTTGATGTACTCTTTGCTCTCTCGGTACAAAACCTACCCTTTCTGAATAATACTGACATCAGAAGGACGTGGTGAGGCAGAACAAAGCAGTGGGCATGGCGGTGAGTGACAGGACTTGGCAAAGAGAGCTGGATCTTCTGCAGTGATCACACTCTTATCCCTTGTGCTTAGCATATTGGAAATGGGCACACTGCCCAGAACAAAATATTGGACAAATTATGCTTGTGTGTGTGTGTGTGTGTGTGTGTGTGTGTGTGTGTGTGTGTGTGTGTGTGTGTGTGGCGTACTCTATACTCCTACAACAGAGAGGGGTGAGACATGTTGTATGACTTTGTTTGTGAGTGTGAGTGTATGAGCATATGGGTTAAGTGTATGTGTGTATGCTACACACACCTACAACTGTTCAGGACGGCAGGATCATCACCAGAGATGAAGACAACTCATCTCAGTGACACACACTCCCACACAGTGGAAAATAATTCCAGCCAAATTAAATGGACAGGATGGTGCCACAGATCACAATCATTGTAGCTGTTATGTGGTTTTCATAAAGCCAAAGTCCGTTATTTTGTGGCTGATTTAAGTGTTTTGGATGTGTACATTTAATAAATAAGAACAAGTAATGGGCATGTAAACAGTCGTACATGACCTCATGAATATCAAAACCAAAGCTAGCGAGGGTCCTTGTGTTGCTTGTCCCCTCTCTCTCCCCTCTCTCTCTCTCGCTGCTTTTCATGTTTGTCTTCAAACACAAGCGAAAATCTTTAAAAAAAAAAAAAAAGAAAGAAAAGGAAGAAGCCAGTAAAATAATAGTAGAATAAGGTCTGGTGTGTGTGTGGGGGGGACAATATAAGTCACTCTGGACAAAAACATCTGCTAAATTAATGCACTGTATTGTAATGTAATTTATTTCCTGTGTAATGATGGTGACAACACCCATGCCAAAAAGTCATGCCCTCAAAAAGATGTGCCAGTTGTGCCATGTGGATCTGCCGGAATGAGAGAGTGAGAGTGAGCAGGGAGGTGAGAAATGGGGAGACATGGACCTGAAACATGGGTGGATGGAGGAGGCAATGGAGGTGAAGGAGAACTGAGTGGAAAATAAAAGAGATGGTTATTTTGGAGGCGAGGGAGACAAATGGGGAGAGACAGAGAGAAGAACAAGACTTTGTGGATGACAGCAGGACGGATCAATCAGGATAACTAGTTACTGCAGGTGGCCATGAGAGAGAGACTGTCTCTCCCAGGAAGACCACACTGACAACAAAGCCCTCTGGCTGCTGTAGTAATAACGACAGGAGGAAAGGAGGAAGTCAGGTGACATTGTTATAGAGCTGCTCTTCATTTCCTGTTTCCAAACCGTTTTCAAATGGTTTTAGTTAAAATAAGTACTTAAAGCTAGGTAAACATTGTGGTTTGGGTTAAACTGGCTACTCGCTCAGAGGACCTTTATCATCATGGTTGAGGTTCAGAAACAATCGTGTGGTAATGGTTAAAAGAAACCAATGTTCAGTGTCAGAAGCAAACGGGAAACAAACAGCAGCTGCCCAATGTTTTTTGATCCATCCATCTCCTCCGACCTCCTCCCGACATCGTTCTGTAACATCACCTGACATTACTTCGGCCACTAGAGGGCTTTGTTACTTGAACGTAAACATACGTCCGTTTGGGGCGCTGGTTGAAGTGACTGATGTTGTTCTTCATGGAAGGAGAGACTCTTCCTGTGTGCCACTAGTTTAATGTTCAATTGTAAAATGTCCCTCTCAGTACAAGTATCTTGCTAATATATTACCCAGTGCTATATTATTATAATTTTTTCCTCTTAAACAACAATATTGGTACGTATCAACTGTATCAGTATTGGTCTTTGAAATCCAGTATCTGACAGCAGATGCTTCAGATGATTCGTTTAAATGTATGTACTTTTTTTATAGCCATATGTTCTTCCTTTTTAATCAAATATTGCCTGATCATGATCATAATTTCATACATTTTTAAGAAGGTTGTTTTTGTTAAATTAATTGATGAGAAAGCCTTTTTGAAAAAGAAAAACGAGATAATTCATACTAATTGATTTAAATGTTGAACAATTCCAATGACACTCAGCTCTACTTAAGTTTCAGCCCTAATTATATTCAGTGTCCAGACTAATAGATGAACAATGAAGTAATCTGTATGAAACACAAACATGACATACATGAACACACATGCAATCCTTTTTCTTTCTGCCCCCTCCCCTCCTCTGTCTCTCTCTGGTGTGAAAGTAGATCCAGCCAGTAAAGGGATCCAGATATTGTAATAGCCTCTTAAATGGGGTCTACTGTAGCCCACAGCTGCTGCCCGCCTCGGGTCTAAGCTACCCCTCCACCCCCTCCTCCTCCTGGCCTCCAGCCCTTTCAGCCCGTCCTGCTCCCGGTGGTTGGTCTTCCTCCCTGAGGGCACACAGGGCTGTTAGGCCACCATTAGTCCTGCTAATGGGCCTGACAACTGCGCCACATCCTCAGCATTTAGACCTCCTCTGTCTGAGATATGGATATCGACCACTTCAATGGAAATGGAGTGTAGGGGCAGGGGGTGGGAGTCGATTTGATATGTACATATAGGCACGAATGTTGTGCACAAACACACACAAGATGCTTGGTGTAGCCACAGTACAGTCAACTGAATGCATGGACACACACACACACACACACACACACACACACACACACACACAACACACACACACACACACACACACACACACACACACACACACTACTGTCCACTCAGCATCTGACTAAAATCAAAGTTTGACTCACCAGTGAGCTCATTATAAGAGAATGTGCTTTTTGCATTACATTTTAACCTTTATACCAACATCAAATTGCCTCCTGTCCCCCTGCCATGCTGCCCCTGTTGATATCCATGCGTGTCTAAATTTCAGCAACAATTTATTTCTGAGAAAAGATTTCAATCAAAAGGACTACTGAGTTTAGCAGAGTGACTGAATGACTTCTAATTTACACACTGAACTCATTTCAGCATAAGACAATTCCTTTTTTATTTTACGTTGACATAGCTCCATAAAACACATTGCTCACAAATCGGAAAGTGTGTTCCTGTATGAGCAATAACGTATAAGTAATGTGCACAGGACATCTACACAGAAGCTTATTTAGAGCTGAAACAATTAGTTGTTACAGTTTTTAATTAAGCAGAACTCCAAATATTCTTTGATCAAGCTTCTCAGATGTTAAGATCTGTTGCTTTTCTTAAGTCTTGTATTATTCTGAACCGAATATCTGAATTTTAGGACAAAATAAGACATCTGAAGTTGTGATAGCCTTTTTATCGAATTAGCAACTAATTGATCATATAAAAAAACATTGTTAGTTGGTAATACTTACTTAATACTACTAAAAATTGTCATCTTTTTAATAAAATGATTGCCAGTTTATAAATTAACATTTTTGCTGGTCTTCTTTGCTGTCTACGATTAAAAACTAAACGCCACTGGGGGTTTAGACTTGTGGTCATACAACACAAGCTGTTTGAAGAAGATTATTGTTAGAAATGAGCAATAAAAACTACTCATATTTCTGCCTTGACGAACTACTTTAACTCTCCCTGCACTTTTAACGGCTATACAAAGGCAACGATTATCAAAAGCCTCAGTATTAATGTCACTACGATACAGTCTTCAACAAACACTTCAGTAGCAGTTCAACAAAGGTAGAGCTGGTGTTTGAGGGAGCAGATAGTTCTGTATTCCTTAGAATAAAATGTTCCCCGGACTAACTCATTGATCATGAAATCTTTAATTTAGTCGCAGCTTTAATCCACCAGGCCTTACAGCAGGAGTCCAGCACCTGTAAGAATGGGAGCCTCGCTCAGTTTTACTGCCACATTTTACCAACTGATCCACATTTTGTGCAGGAAATCTTCCAACTTTTGATGACTGATCATCCAGAACAAAATATCTTGGCACAATGTGCAGCAGAGTACTTTTACTGTAAATTAACTCACAAGGAAGCAGAGAAGGACTGGCAGACAATGGCCTGCATAGTAAGCTTTGCCTGCCTCACTCGATTTCTTTCACACCCACAGCACGGAGGAAAGCCTCGAAGGAAGCTTTTACTGTACCAGTGCCTTCCTGTGTCTGTCATAATGTACAAGATAATAGGCTAAGTGACTGGCCTACATCATGAAAATGTAATAGAATAATCTACTCCATACTCAGCCACTTTAAGTAGCCCAGACTCAACATATGTCTGGTTATTATAGACTGGTATACATATTATTGTCAGTCTAAAACAATAAAAACAGGTCAGTTGCCCGCTACCTTTCTGGGTGCTGCCTTTCGTTATTCCAGAACTGTACTGGGACAATACATTCAATAAATGTATCTACTGTTTATAGTGAAGTAGCTATCCCTATTGTATTGTACTAGACCATTGTGTACAGTGTTGCAAATCAATGAGCTGGACTGTGTAATGGCTTAATTAGATTGTCTTATATGTTTTGTATTAATGTTGTGAATTACCATAATATATTTGACAAAATAGTTTTTTAATCCATAAGAAGTTTCTAATTCTTTTTATATCATGGCGATATTGCAATACAAAATTGGGTGATAGATGGTTTTTCCATGTTTCCAACTAAATCAACTGCCTCCAGTTTTATGGTCTTCTGCCTTTTCAAACTACATTCATGAACACACTCATGGGGCCCTTATTTTATGGTTAGAGATCTCTTTCGAACCATACATAGATCCACATGTGTTTAAAGGAGTGCATTAACTAATTTAAAGTACAACTCATCACAATGGCTATATTTATTTCCACCCTGTACATGTATGTGTGGACGAAGAACCAGCATATATCACAATGAAGCTAGTTTAAAGATTATGTGCCAATATTGTGACTTTATTTTGAAATATAAAAAGACATGTGGCCTGTGTCGTATGATGGGAAATCTCTATCAGACTAGCAATGTATCATTTGTTATATTTATATGAACCTTACAAAGGTGGTAAAACAGTTCTCACCTGCAGCCTCCGTCTTCGGATGATCCCAGAATCATCCATGGCGCGTGTCCGGGATCACACCTGTCGGACAGTCTCGTGGCTCCTGTGCTTTCCAGGTGACGGGGGCGAGAACAAGCCCCACTCTCGCGTGGCTTTCAGCTTGCCAGCACGGGTTGTTTATTCACAAATAAACCGATATGCTCATTATTTACCAGCGAGAAGCAGGTAATATCAGCGTGTAAAATAATATCATACGGCAAACAGAGAGATATAAACGCTATCTTCTCTGGCGCACAACAACAACAACAACAAAGAAAACTATCAAATATGACCAAAGTATTAAAGAAAAGTGCCGCTCTTGTGCTCGACCCCAGCGAGCATCCAGGCAGAGACTGACACAGACTACTGACTAGGCTGCTCTGTGGTGGGAACTGCTGAATAAGCCTCTCTCGGCTGCACGGTGGGATCAACTGAAGTCCAGCTGAGAGATAGAGGAGAAACCCCCCGAGCAGCGCACACTGTCACACCGAAGGTTATCACACCACAGATTAGATATACCAAACAAGTTTGCACACATCTTCACCTCGGTTCCCTCACAGCTCAAAACAAACATATGAATACTGCAAGCAGCTCACTGCACCAGCAACACCCAGCTGTCATCCTTTAAAAGAAAAAAATGCCTTCTATCACAAGGGATCGGCAGCAATCCGCTACATGTTAGTCCACATTCAAACACTCAGTCTGTGTGCTGTGGAGGCACCGGTGCATGCATGTACACGGAGTCCATTGCATATTGCACATTGCTACACAACGATTATATGACACACATCCAGGCGCTGTCAAGAGCCGTCTGTGTGCATTTAAAAAAAGACGAGATCAATGAGAATCATAGAGACTCTATACGTCCATCTGGGGAAAGATACACACACACACACATCGGCGCTGAAAGCAGGTTGATAACTTCACGTTTTCGTCCCCTGGTGGGTAGATTTGTCCGTTTTCCGTGCTCACTCGCAGGTATATACGATGCGTTCACGCTCCTCTTCTCCGATGTGACATTGCTTTTCTCGCGGAAAATGATCAGTGGTTGCTACACAGGCTTCGCTCCATCCTCAGCTCTTACCACCCACTTCCTACTACCAAATGACGTTTAACCCTTAAGCGACCAGAGGCTTGTCTTTTTTTCATTTATCAGGTAGGCTACTGTTTTTTTGTTTGTTTTTTACTATACTACTTATCAAGCCCACATTACCTGACAAAATTCTTCTTTGCACATTTGTCAGGTGCATCTGTCCAAAAATGGATGTAGACCTGAAACGATTAGTCAATTAATCGATTAGTAGATTAAGATTATTGTTAAATTGTCTCATTAATTATAAAGAATGGCATTGTGACAAAATGCTGCTCATTCTCAGGTTCCAGCTTCTCAAATGATTTACTTTCTCATATAAAATAGTCAATTGAATATCTTTGGGTTTTACCCTTAAGTATCTCTAGTTGTGTTGTGAGCAGTGTTGCTAAGAAGGAACCGTTCTTGCTGTTTTCCAAGAAAATGTACTGCATCAAGATCAGAGCATCAACAGCACTTGTTTTTATTATTTATTAATCAGCTGACTATTTTCTTGATTGATTGAACCCAAAACTTTGATTATAAAACACAGAAAAGCAGCAAATTCTCACTCTTGAGAGATAATTCTCAAGAGTAAGAAGTTGGAATAGGAGGTGGTTGGCATTTGTGCTTGAGCAATGACTTAAATAATTACTAGATTATGATTATAATGGCAGATAATTGTATTGCTTAATCAACTAATCATTTAAGCCCTAATAATACATGATATATTACATCATACCTTGACATTCATAGACAGCCCTCTCTATGGGGTTGACAGATCTTGCCCAACTTAATATGACCCATTACCTAATGTGCACAGAGAGTTACTAAATATTGTTATAAGTGCTTTATCAATATGTGTTTATGCTGTTTTGTCTGCCCATAGACCATACATGGGCCTGGACATGTAAATTTGATTGTCTAACTGAATTAACAGTCAACACAGCCTGCCGTCATGCTTCCATTGCTATTTCAAAATGGCATCAACCATTATGCATTATTCAACATTCACACCTGTCACACATAGGATTCACTGCCACTAACATTTCACAGCTCCTCACCCTTCAGTTACTTGCATCCCTGATCCACATGTTAATGAATGAACGTTGGCATAGAAACAAATTCCCACCATGGTGATTTTAAAGAGAAAGATCTGGAATGCTGTTGACATATTAACTGGAACTGCATGTCTTCTGAAGGTCTAATCTTCATAGCAAGTGAACCACCCTGTCCCCACAGAGTCTGCCAACAGATGTAGGATGTAACGTCAATAGAATGAATGCATTCCCTGATCAATACTAAAAGAAAGTCACCACTAAGCAGTACTAATCACTGATTATACTGAAACATTGAAGGGCAAAGTCCATCGCAGTGTTCACACAATGTGTTGTGTTTGTCAGGATGATGTTTCACTGTTAAACATTCTCACAAGAAAGAGAGAGAGAGAGAGAGAGAGAGAGAGAGAGAGAGAGAGAGAGAGAGAGAAATAGTAATGTTGGTCAAAGGTGGCTGGTGGGATGGATCAATGCGGAGAGAGAAAAACACGAGAGGCCAGGCAGCTGGTCCGACTCCAGCTCCAGGACGGAGGCAGACAAGAGAGAGACTTAGCGGCTTTTAGCTTTGTGGCCTTAGTGTTCCTCCAGTCTCTCTGAGCAGACGGAGCTGGCAGGCTTTAGTCCCTCTCACCCTGTGATTTATCACTGACAGATCACTCTGGGTTCAACCTCAGGACCCCATCACCAGCACTTCAAATCTCTCACTCTCAACCACACATATTAACCAGAACTCCCTCATCATTGCCGTATATTTTGTTAGAAAGAAGACCTAAGGGCTGCAGAGGTTACTTTCATTCATCATTATTATTACGATTAATCAATAAATGACTAATTGTTTCAGCTCTATGGCTCAATAAAATAAAAGACACAATAATACTTGACACCAATTAGGTTTTATTTATAAAAACACATTTTTAAAAGTGTCCTATGGCTTCTGGAATAAAACCAAACTTCATACAGGCAATTTTAAAAGCTTTCCAGATGGCATAGCTTAACAAAGTCATTAAAAACATGTGTGGGGTCACTGATTATTGTTCATGTATTCTTGCATATATTTCTCGCCTTTTCCCAGTGGTCTGAATAAGTCTCTAAATCTGTTGCTTTTTTAGAAATAAGTTACTAAGAGGGTCTGAAAAGTCACAACATTGCGTAAAGGCAGCAATAGCTCGTGTCAGTGTCACCTCACATTCGTTGTGTTGCATTTGAATTTGAACACTTGACAATTCAAATGATATAGCCTATAATGCATGATGCATACATGTAATGATTTCATTTGTAATGACAAATTTCTCTCCTGTCCCAGAATTGTCCTGCTGTATCTTTGAGTCCCAGGTGCAATTTTTATTTGTCTTGAGTGCGATTATGTTTAAATGTCCGCTGTGTAACATTTAGGACGATCTATTGGCAGAAATTAATATAATATTCACAGGTATGTTTTCATTAGTGTATAATCACCTGAAAATAAGAACTGTTGTGTTTTTGTTAGAATGAGATGTTTTTATCTACAAAGGGGGCAGGTACTCTTCCATGAAGTCCGCCATGTTGAACCACCATGTTTCTACAGTAGCCCAGAACGGACAAAGCAAACACTGGCTCTAGATATTGTTTGTCATGGTTTTTTTTTTTCAAGTTTCGTTGCCACTATAGTTTGGTTGCAATCTGCCTCTAAATCCTACACACTGGTCCTTTAAATTATTTTGATGACACTACATATAAACCTCCTTTTAATAATAGGAGTAATAAAATATGGATGTTTCCATGTGCCTATAATGTGCTGCGGAACTTGTCACGTTAAAATGTATACATACTTAACATGTTGGCACTGGCCTAGTTCAAGCAGATCTAATACTAAAGAAAGCTTAAGAATAAACAGGAATCAAATTTGTTCTTTGGTGTCAGCAGGTGAAAAATTCTGTATCACGGGGTGACCCAGTTACCAGCTTGTCTGACTTCTCTAGCACATTTAGCCTATGCTGCTTTTCTTATTAATATTAAATAATTAATGGAGACACATGAATTTTGCATATTTTTTGTTCATTAGGTGCTGTGAGATTTGGGGAGGGGAGGAGGCAGCAGTGCAGAAACCTTACAAGGCACAGTTTTAACAGGCAAAGACTTTCTCATATTGCTTCGTGCAAAAGCTCTCAAAAATGATGTCACCCTTTTTCAGAGGATGCCCCGGAGGGAGGTCACATGGGGTCAGTTCTCTGCAGCCAAAAGCTTGGCAGGGCTGGGATTTGGAATATGCCTGCTGCTTGTGCGATCCCATTTCCCGTCCTGGTAAGCCTTTCTCACAAGAGCCACGTCAGCTCACATCTCTTCATAGACTGCAAGTGCCTCCCCCTGCATTCACATCTGCTCTGTGTGTGTGTGCACAGGTTTATAAAAGGAGTCAGCATTCCCCCCTCAGACACAAACTGTAACATGTAGGCATTATTTTAAGTGAAAGTCTTCTAGTTTTTAATCACATCAACCACTGTGTGTGCAGGTGTTTTTATGACATAAATCCAGTTTAATAGAGAAGCACTGATTAAAAAAAAAGAAATGCCAATCACAGTTCACTTTCCCAGAGCCCAGAGTGGCTTCTTCAAACGGTTGTTTTGTCTGAAAACACAAGGATATACAATATAGAAAATACTGTATTTTAAATTACTTAAACAATTGCTGATAACTGGCCAAGTTATATTGTATTGAAGTCTCAGGTTTGCTAGCCTCAAAGTCAAAGAGTTTCCGAACCAGTGGAATAACTGATAAAGCGACTAATAGTTTCAGCTCTACATCATATTATGTGTTGATGTTGATTAGTAATCGGCTATATACAGGGGCAAGGACAATACTACGTCTACGATATACAGTACTACAATAAAATTAACTCCAAATGCCCTTAAGGCTGAAGGCTGCGTCTGCTAATTCAGATGTACCTCATTTATTATGACTATGCCCCAAAGTGCATTTTAAAATCACCCAATAATGAATCGAATCTAATTCAGTTTCACACAAAATTATCACCTTAACGTATTCAGTGCATTCTGAAAACAGTGCTTCCTTCAAATTGAGCAGTTTTTCTCTCTGTTGATGTTTTAATTCTCATACAGGAACATGGTGATTGCTACGTCTCTCGCTGCTAATTGGCGTTCAGCCTAGTATGACGTGACTTTGCAGCAGTTAATTTTGATTGTGTTAGCAGTAACTGTGTTTACATTGTTTACCATTCGTAGGTTTTAATTACCAACTTGATGATGCTGTACATTGTACATTGGTATTTCTTTCATTAATCTAATGCAATAGCATTAAGTTCAGTACACAAACTCAGTAGCCATGATTCACACTCCATAAACCCTTTTCACAGCCGACATTATGACTTGCTGAGGCAGGTTAAGTACACTGAGATGTCAAAATGTCTGTTACCATAATTACAAAGCCTTCTATAGTGCAGTATTTAGAGAATCATATATGAGGCAACAACAATTTACTTTATCTCTGTTCCCTATGTTCACCTTTTGGACAATTTGGCCACAGCTCCTTATCTTTTATCCTTAAACTCTCCACTTACATCTCCCTTTTATCCTCCTCATCTTCCGCTATTGTCATTCTCATATATCCCTTAAATTAGTCTTCTTCCTTGTCTTACAAATCTGCTTCCTTAAAACCTCCCTACACCTCCTTTCTCCTCCTCCTCTCATCTCCCACCTTCTCCTCATTTCTAGCCCTGTCTGTGTATAAGTGGGTCACAGACTACAGCTGTGCTAAAAGCCTAGTCTGGGAAGAGGAGCTTCTCTAAATAAAACACTATATGATCAACGTTCTCTGGGGTCCCTCATCATACATACATAAAGCTAAGAAAGATGGAGAGAAGAGGGGAAAGAGTTCAAGAGGGAGAGATAATGTATATGCAGCTTGATTAAGTGGCTTTCTGGCCTTGTTGGCTCCGTGTAGATAGAAAGCAATTTCCACTTGCATGTTCTATATACATATAGCCTAAAGTATATATAGGCCACATCAAAGCTTTTAATCACAAACAAATGCTTCAATGAA